CTACAATGTCTTGTTGAACCAAGTGGGCACAGACTGAAAGATGAAATGCTCACTCACTTAACTTCTGACGCTAATTTAAGGGAAACTAGTAAAGCATGACACACTGTGCTATTGTGCCTTTTATCACTGTTGTAAACATATAAAGTGTATTCTCACTTTTAGTCTTATTGTAGTAGGTGTACTTTGAGTTTTTTGTTCTTCTACATGTACCCCTGCCTCGTGCCCAACAATATCTCCAGATAACCCGCTTGGCACTCCAGGAGTGCGTGTGACCTGCCCCCCCCCCCATCTGTTGGTCTAAAATGGCACCAGCTGTTATCTTTTTTCTCCAGCAGGGAGTGTTGTTTCTGTTCTCCAACTCACCTCATTCCCGTAGAGACAAAAGGCTGAACCTCAACACTGTTTATTTTCTGTTTATGGATATTTGTTTGTCTTTTAGGAATGTTTTTTTGTATAATGGTTTTTCTTGCTTAGAGAATGGGATCTTACACGTCACCAACCTAAAATATACTACTTAAGTACTCCCTACGTGGAGTTTTTTGATCTCAGGTTCCACTGACAAAGCATCCCAAAAGGCTCTTCAGATAAGGCCTTGGATTCATGTTACAAAACAAGTAAAATGTACTGAAAAGCATTTCTGCTCTGGTGTCTTGTTCTTCAAGTATTTACAGTACTAACCTTTCCATGCATTTTATTTTTTATTATCTATCCGAAGTCGCAATGGATTAGTAGCCTCTTCAGTCTTCTATTGATAGCTCTACAGCAGATAAAGTGTTGAGGGTTAGTTAGCGTGTAAACTGCAGTTTTTAACGTTGGATGATAGTACATTTACAGTGCTGTGCTACATATACTACTTCTCATGTAGATATTCACTATGTTTCGTGTGTCCATTTAGTGTGGAGACAGTTAGAAAAGTCACCACCAGAGAGAGCCAGATGGTTGAGGGAATAGTAAAATGAACACATTGTACCTCCATCTAAATAATAAAAAAAAAAACACCAGATAGTATTGCATATCATATGCTATGTATAGAAATAAGGCAAATGTATGTGTCAGCTTAAACTAACCAGGATCAGTTTTATTGCCAAGTATCTTTCAAATACAAGTAATTTGCTTTGGTATAATGGTCCATAAATAAACAGTAAGAGGAAGACATTTTTAAGATAGGAGCAAATATAGAACCATTTAAAAAACATTTTAAAAAAGGAGAAGAAATGTAAACAGGAAATATAAATAAACAAAAAAGGAAATACAATAACACTGACAAACTATAATGAAATAGATGAGAATGGACTTGATGGCAGTGTTGGAGTTCACCATCAATTACTTTGGCAGTTTGTACTTCTTCACCTGATGCAACAATAAGACCGACTGAAGAGTCACACAGGGTGATGGGGACGTGTGGGGCTGCGTTCTTACGAAAATCCAGAATCATTACCGTTTTCGTTTCACATTAATAGTAGAAATCAGTGTTTATTATTGATATTGCTGACAAGTAGGATAAAAAGTCCACAGATGATGCAACACATTAACTGATGCCTGGTTTCAATCAGATTTTCACTCAAGGCAATGCTTACATCTAGTGTCACTCACAATGTATATATATATATATTTAAATATAAAACACCATTCATTCCTCATGATCATCAGAAACCAGAATTGCACAATGGATAATATACTTGTTCTGCTAGTTCACATCCTGAATTAGATATCGCACATCCAGTGCAAGATTAGCAGTTTCTACAGCAACTTGCAATGCATTGAGTTTAGCCGTGAAGGAGTCAAGCACATGTGGCTGCACAGAAGCGTCTTCAGACAGAGGTGCAGGTGAGAACTGTGGGTATTTAGAGTTGAAATAAGTCCACTTCTGATTTGGGCTACTTTCCACAAGTCCACAGCCACAGGAGCCCAAGCTATCCCCCATGTGTTCTGTCAGGACATCTGCAGGGTGAGACCAGTGGTGGGCATGAGTCAGATCCATTAAAGAACTCCCACCATCGTGCTCCAGCGCCGCGGCAACAGCCTCCAGAGAGCGACAGAATCCCTCCACGCCGAGGAGACACTCCGTCTGTGAGCAGCCTAGCGCAGATACTGTCTCTGGGATTTCATTCATGCTCTGAGATGAAAATATGTAATTATCAAGACATGTTTGAATCAGAACTCAGTGACAATTTGTAATTAGATTAAATACAAGTTTGGTTCTTACCTTGTGTCTGATGTAAGCAGCTAAGTGGGTCTCTGTACACCCACCCCCAAGTAAAGCAGATGGTTCTCTGAGGGTGAGCCTCAACACATGCTCTGTTTTCTGGCACACCACCTTTGACAGACGCATGGAAATTAACACATCAGTTCATTGGTTAAACTTGCTTCATATTAATAGACATATTTTCTTTCAAATACCTATTTTTATTGAAACGCTTTCTTACCATTTTTAGGTTTATGTTTTATTCTGAATTATTGAGTAACACTGTTTGTGTTATCATCCGTTGGTTTTTCGTTTGCTCTTCCTTTCCCTGTTTCTTTTAGTATTTTACGACAGTATTTTGCATTTTATTGTTGTGTTTTATGTGGTCGCTGTAAAACACTTTGTAATGATGGTTTTAATAAGTGCTATATAGACAAATTGTATTGTTATTACCATATTATTATTCCAAGCCAATGTCGTAAATGCAATTATTATTTGTTTTTAAATTACCCTATAAAAATAATCTATGCTCCTAGTTGATGGATGCTTTTCACAATAGTGCTGTGGAAGAATTCAATCATTCCCCCTGGCTGTGGTAGGAAAACACTCCACATCAATGGGCTTTATGGGGCTGTATTGGATAAATCATATTTTTGATTTACGGAATAATATCTAGAGGAGATTGCAAGTCTTAGTGGGCGTGAGATCCATCTGATGTTAGGAGTAATATAACAGACAGTTGGTTTGCTATTCTTGTGCGTTAATGACTGAAAAGTTCTCTCTCTCTCTACAATCCATACTTCTCACTGTATCTTACCTTCAGCTCACTGAGCATGGTCTCGTTCCTGTGGCAGAGGATCATTGTGCAGATCGCACACTCTCCAGGAGGATGTAAATGCAGCATTGTCTTGGATCCAAATGTCCTGATCCTTAGATCCCTCACCCTCCCGTAGGCCTTGGCTGGGATGGTGGTGTGCAATGTGGCCACGGGTTGAGCCCCTGTTGGTTAAAGTGGACAAAATGTAAAGAGGACCTCAAACACTCCAAAGTAACAGTAGAATATATACCTGCCTGGACAGTACACTTTACATATGTTCATCCACAATTTCACACCCGAAGGAATGCAGGAATCTCATAACATTAAGTAGCATTTAAGAAGTTTCAAATTTAGATAAAATATTTTCAAATACGCATATAAAATAATGCATCTACTTGTTCAAGTGCTTAATTAAAGCATCCATCTATTGAATATATATTATGACTATAAATGTGTTTTTCTACAAATAGTTTCAGCTCTAAAAATGATATTCCTTTCAAATAAAGTATGGCACCTACCTGTGAGCTGAGTAAGGGGCTCCATGAGAGTGATTCCCAGTCTTTCTATCACTATGCTACCATGACTCCTCAGGTATTGCTGCAGAACTGGGTGAATGACCTTCTGGCACACAAAAAGCTTCACCTCATCTTTAACCACCTGTTTGCCGAGCTCCAGGAGCTGATCCAGTATCTGTGAGTCAGTGTCTACACCTGGATGCACCTCGATTATCCCATCTCCCAGTTCAGAAAGGTCCCCAGCAAGGGAAGCACTGAACAACACCACGCGCAGTGCATCTGAAGGCAGGTTCTCTACTTTATCTATAGTAAAGACATCAGGCATGTCCAGCAATAAACCTGGAAACACTGCTGAGTTGAGCACACCATGGCCTTCAACAGACACAGTCACTATTTTGCCAAGACTGACTATACCTGGGCTGCTGCAGGGAACAGTCAGCAAAAAAGCCTGTACAGCCAACCTGCTGATGTGAAGGGTCTCTGGCTCTGTTAGCACACATGTTGGTTTGCTGGAGATAACACTGCGGGCCAATGTGATCAAGCTCTGGCTGCTGCAGAAGTCGAGCTTCACTTTACAACCACAGTCTTCTCCTTGTAGATAACTGGTGCACAGACCCAGCAAGTGATTGTTCACTCTGATGGCCACATTTCCTCTGAGACCAGACTGCTTTGCCTGCTCAATAAGAGACAAACAAAGAATGGCAGCGAACAAACCACAGTCACTGAAACGAGAAACGTGGTTGAGAATGGAGGTTTTTATCAGATTGATAAAAGGCTGTGAGGAGGAAATGGCTGGAAGGAGAACTGAGGAGGTTGAGGTGGTTACTACGTGCCCCCCGATGTTGTTGTGGACTTGTTTTAGTCTACCTGTCGGACCAAAACAAGATCTCAGGAGCTGCCTCAGCAAATCAAGCTTTTTACAAATATCCGCGTTGTCCAGAGGTAGATCCGTACACAGAGATGGAGATTTCTTGGAGAGTCGAGACATGACCTAGCTGCAAATTCTCAATCAGAGCAGGCTAACATTATGAACATCCTCGACAACGTAATATTACAGAATCACATTTGCTTCGGTATAGTGAAGCTATTTGTATTGCCTGCCCTAAACTAGACACATTAGGAAATACACCTTTTATATAGCACACTAAAGCAATATCAAATGTGTATTACATGATAAAGGGACTATAATATGTAAAAGAAAATACTATTCAGATACACGTTTGACAATCTAGAATCAAAAGTTTCATACAGGCCCTCTCAATACGCAACTTGTTACCATGGTAGCGCACAGAGCGTGGGGTCCTAAAAGGGTCCTAGTCGCATTCTCCCGTCAGTTTGGAAATTGTTTACACCGCAGAACATAAACCTTAACTTTATACATTTACACTAAACTACTTTATAAAAGAGAACATATAGTTGCCTTGCTACCTTACTTACATTTCACGGTGTATTCATAACCAAAAGTCAAGGTCCAAGTCCGACTGGCTTTGCAGTAGTTGGACCACAAACGATGGTGTGACGTCATCATCGTTTGACAAACATTCAAAATTGGTGGCGGTATGAAAATGATCTTTTCCTAATTTTGATTAATTTACAGAATGTATTACCAAGGAAATGTGTTTGATTCCATCTTTGTTTTTGCATTAACTTTACACTTGTTAATACTAGCATTGGTTGGAAGCATTAAGGTGTTACTTAGTAACGTAAATAATGATTGTTCTTGTATTGCAGCTGTGCGACCGTACGGAGTGAATTAACTCTATAGATCTTTACGTTACGTTTCCACTAACTAACCCTGTAACTTCCAATCATTCTGAGGCTTAAGTGCTTTAGCTCAGATAAATTGGACGAAACTTTGTATTCTAACTTAAGGTATAAATAAATAATATTAGAAAAATGAAGGTAAAAAATGTAAACCAGCAGTGTTAGCTAATAATTGCTAATATTCTGGATTTTTCCTTTCTGGAAAGAGATTTTTTGAATATTTGGTGAATTGTTTTATAGATCCTCACCAGCATGTCCCCAATGTTGTCTACTGGGAGATTATCCTTAACACTAGAACTATCTAAAGCAGAATCTGGCTATCACTGCTGCTGGAAATATTATTCACAACTGACTGGTTTGAACTGATGGCTGGATAATGCGCATACTTGATGATAAATATGGTAAATAACAAGACAGGAAAGATATGAACACGTCTGAGATAATTTGTTAAATAAAAAAAGGAACTATGTGCCTTTTTTATTAAACTTCAAATATCAGGATATATGGGATGCATTATTTAATACAAAATGATTATGTTGATTGTTATGTTAATGTGCTTATATGTACATTATCATATGTGTCCTTATTATCCAACAAATAAGGACACTTAAGCTTTACATAAAAGCTTCAATTAATTAAAATAAGCAACCTGTTTAGGTTACTGTTAGAAACATGGCAGTGTATTGTGTTTTAGAGAACCCTTATCATGCTGTAGTTACTATTATAACAAACCTACAAGTTATCTTTGCAAAACATGAATTACATCATACACTGAAACAACTGAAACGTTGACTTTAATTAAATGTATTATGTTAACAGATTTCACAGAACTGTAATAGTTAAGTTGAAAGCAATAATATTCATATTTTTTTATTTAAACTTAATAATATTGCTTTCAACTAACTTAATTCAGTTCTGTGAAATCTGTGGACATCATTTACATTTAATTAAAGTCAACGTTACAGTTTTTTCAGTGTAGAGTGTGAAGTAAGGTAGGTTGATTGTGGAGTACCAACATACCATGAGTGTCTGTCTATGATCATGCAGTTACAATTATTTTCTATTGAGGAATGTACTAAAACCAGCCTACCAGTATTGTATGTTGTGTTGTTTTTAGGCTACTATGTGTAATGTATGGCTTTATACACTTGTTTCAGGTGTAACAAGCTGGCTGCTGTGTTCACTGCAATGGCTCCCCTCAAATTTGTTATTAAGGTAAGTGAAACAAATATATTCAGCATACAATCGCTTGTGCTGTAGTGTTGTCTTTAAGTAATATACTGTATAAAATGCAATGCTTTACATTTGTTTTTTGAGCCTGCTGTGTTTGACTTAACATTTATTTTTTTGAGTTTGAAGTTCTGTATAACTTTCAAGTTGAGAAGTTTTTATTTTTATGTTATAAGCACAAGTGAATCATATTCTTTAGTATCTTGGGAACATGTATATTTCTTATTTCATATTTGGAAATCTGTTATTTCTAAGCAAAGAAGCATTTAAGATATTTTCATGGATCACATAGTTTCATAATAACTCGTGGGATAACATAAAGTTTCTCCACAAAATGCACACAAGAAAAACAAAAATGAACGTGCATTTGATTAAAGCTTTCCAGCTTGTTTTGCCAGCAGTCACAAACAACATTTTTAGTTGGAATTACTATACTATAAATAACTACAGACACTTGTTCTAAAGTGGTGTAAGCTATTATGGTCTATTTTAAACCAGCTGTTGTGCAGTCGGGGAAAATGAAACACAGGGATAATTGCGTGCTTCTCTAACATTAACATTATTTTTTTCCAACGCCTTGCATGTTGCCATTATTCTTTGTTTTGATCTTCTCAGTAGCCAATTCTTTGGCCACTAGAGGGAAGTACAGATACACGGTATAACTGTGTGGCCTCCACATTCTGATGTTGTTATTCATCCGTTTAGAACACGTTATTCAGAGTTTCTGGTCACCTTTTGCGAATCTCAACTGACTGCCTCCCTCAGTGCGTTTTGTTAATGGACCAGCCATGCAGAGCAGAGGAACCTCATTCTATTAAAAAGCCAAGCTGTTCATCCTCAGTCTGAGGCTCTGTCAGGAATAATGCACATCAGATGTTTTTGTTAAGTGCAGGAAAAGCCGCTGGTCTCTCTTTTGTTGATGTTTCATTTATTGAGAGTTTTGGATGAGGGCTGCAGACATTTGCACTGATCTCTAACATCCTCCGTAATGCCATGTGTGCCTAGTTGACCAGATATTGCATTCACTCCCTTTATTTGTTTCATATGCATGCCTGCATACAGGCTGCCCCACCACCCCCCTCAGCTGGTTGTGGGAGAGTAAAACCCCCTGAGGTTCACGGAGGGTTCCTTCCCACTGGGCACATAATGATACTGTTGTGTTACTCTGCCTGAGAAAATGCACACAGCCTCGACCACGCTTAACCAACTGACCACAAACAAGTAGGGATCAGTCTAAAACAAAAGCATTCAAGACGCTACCCTAAGCTCCTCTATCGCAGAACAAACACCAATACCACCATGTTTTTTAATCAAATAAAACTGCACAGAGATTTGTTTTGCTCATATTGAAATCGTTGTTATCTGGCTTGCACAGAGAGCAAGTATCGTTGGAGCAGTTATGGGTTATGTTCTTGGATTCGCCATGCCATGTTTAGTCGGATGTTAAGCAGTGTGTTTTTTGATTCTTTTTCCTAGAATGTTTTCAAAGCAGCTCTCTCCCTGGTCTGTGAAACTGCAGGAGGTGGTGGTATGCTCCTTCTTAAGTAGGCTTAGACGATATAGTGACCTGCCACTTCTCAGACCTCCCGAAAAGGGCCTACAGGCTAAAGCCCTGATCCACTGAAGCGCTCGCTGTCTGCCAGGACATTACTGAAGCAGAGCCCTGCAATCTGCCTTCTATTAGCAATATGCACTGCTGACTTTCTAACCATCTAATGCAGTAGGTTGAGACAAAAGTGTTTTTAAGAATATAAAAATGGAGGTATCACAGAGCAGTTTAATGTCAGAGGTTTACGTGCTGTTTAGTGTTGTTGTCACTCTGTAGATGAGCTCATATCGGACCACACATCCTGCCTCTGTACAAAATCATCGCAGAAACATTTTGACACTTTCCAACTTGGGGAATCTTTCACAAAAGAATGTGACAAGGATTTAAAAAAGAAACTCCCTTTCATCTCAGCACTGCCCTACATTGCTGTACATAATTCATTTTTCATAATGAGGCCAAACACTTCTCAGCCTGCTATTTCTCTCAATCTATCAATTTCTTAAGGGTGTGTCTTCCTGAGTTTTGTTTGCTGTGTGTTACCTGGAGATATTCCTGTCTGTTCTTGCTGCCGGAATTCCTCTCCTGGGTTGTGTCTCTTTTTATTTTCAAATAAAGAGGACTCAGGTGTGCTAACATTCACCTGAATAAAGGCAGCTTGGCAGACAAAACACTTCCCGAAACTATCTGTAAATAACCTTCGCTTTTAAAATAATCAAGTCTCAAGCTTCACCGCTCAGTATCTGGCAGTTGGAAAAATTGGAAAGTGAACTGTCTTTTTCTTTTTTTTATATCAAAAGGGGAAACCCAGGTGACTCACAGCAAAGCGAGAGTGCTGGGAATGAGACAAATAAAGCCGGAGAGCAAGATTGTCACACCCACAGATCTAAAGAGCTCCCCTGGGCTCTTTGCAGACTTGCAGAAAAAGGGAGAGAACGTCAGAAAAAGAGAGAGACAAAGGGAGAGATGCAAGTTTTATTGAGTGAGACCGCATCTGCTGCCCCTTCTCTCCCAATGTAAACATCTGCGGCTGGTTAGTGTTAGCCTCTGAGCTAAGTGCAGTCCGAGAAGGTCTGGTTCTTATACAGCGCGATAGTAATGGCAAAGGGCAGCGAGGTGGGGAGGCGGGTGAAGCTGCTCGCAGGGTTTGGGCCCCGTGCCCAACATGGAGCAGAACAGACGGGAGGATGAAGAGCCGGGTCTGGGAGAGAGATAAGGGAAGGTAGAGAGTGTTTTGGGAACTGAGAGTGATATAGACCAGAGCTCCAAAAACCAAAAGGAGCTGTCGATGGGTTTGAGTGTTTATTTGCAGACAGAAAATATGAAGGAATTTTCTGATGTTGACCTGTGAGCAGCTTGGGTCTTCTAATGATTTCCCTTTTTCCTCCTCACAGCTCATGACTATCAGATTGGCAGTGGGGAGAATTAGGATAGAGAAGTTGAGCTTAGCCTGCAGGAAGATTCCGTCCTATTCATTCACCGTGTGACAGCGCACAAAAGATGGCACAATAAAGGATTTGGTATTAAGTAGCACTCCTTGCCGCCTCTCATTCAGCTTTCAGCCTCTGTTCATCTCTCTAAAAAGCAAGACAGGGAACAAAGCACTGCTGGCCCACTTTAGTGTGTATGAAAGGACTAACTTCCTCTAGAATTTGGCCCTTTATCAAACCTGTCTTTCCAACAGTTGCACAGAGTATTGCTTCAAATGACACAAAATAAGAGCGCTCATGAATTTTATAAACAAACATGTAAGGTTAATTAATCCTTCAGGGTTCTGCTGATTGTTCTTTAAAGATGGTGTTGTAGAGAAAGGCAATGATGGTGGGATTTGCAGACAGACCGTTTTTGAAGTTGCTAATCCCGCTGTATTTCACTCTTTCACTGGATCTTTTCAGGCACTTTCAAATAACCTTTCTCAAGGAAGACAAGGTTCTTGTGGTCCAGATTACTGCATTATCTCACAAAGTATTAGGCCCTTCGCAGTGATCTCACCAAAGAGGGGCCGTAGCGGGGGTCATAGTTCATGGCAGAGTTCATCTTAGAGATCCACTGGTCACTCTTTGGACACATTTAGACCACATGATGTGATTGTAGTCGGAGCTTTTGTGTTAAATTAGATTCTGCGTCTTTTTTTGTCTTATCTGCCACACTCAACACAACCTCCCTTTGTAAAGGCTCTGATAGCTGCACCTCAACAGTGGAGCCTTGACTCAGAGCTTGACACTTCTGCAGGAAATTCGGGCCAGATTCCATGAGCAAATTATTTTGCTCTTATTAGGCTTATTGCATTAGTTTGCTGCTTTCCTGACAAAAAATCCCCCATTTCTGAGAAACCCAGGGAATCACATGCTGTTTTTGTGTGGGGGACAGACCAATGTTTATCATTAAAGTCACAGTTCCCAGTTGGGTCTTGTCTGCTGCTCTAATGTGATAAAAGGAAGTTAGTCTAACGCTTGCTAGATGTCTGGCTTCTTGCCCAAAACATAGACTCAATCAGAAGTTTAGAAACCAGTTGAGGGGATTCACCCTGCCGCGTCTCCATCAGTGCTGCACTCCCTACACTGCGCTCTTCTTTCCATGATAGTCATCAAATGAACCTTGTGTCGCTCTTTTGAGCCCACATTAGCTTGTGAGCCATGTGATCTTGTGGCCCCTATAAGGATTAACATACGTGCAGGGGTCAAAATATTTGAAAAATCTATATTACAGAGCAGTCCAATGCCACAAACATTTAACTAAAACCTCAACATTTCCATTGAAGTCATTTACAATTTCTCTGACACATAGTCAATATTTAAGTTTCACAAGATTGATTGTAAGGCCATTATACTACTATATTAAATTGCTAACTCATGCATAGTGGCAGCGTTGCTTTCCTCATCCCAAAGGCCTTCCTTCAGTCTCCAAAGTCAAAGACTGCGATCAGGATTCCAGGACCCCTCCAACGTGTGTCAAGTCCAACCCCAAGACACCAGGGTGGGGCTCACCCGTTAGTCGCTCCCTGTGTTTTGATTGACAAGGTCTGACCCTCTGTTGCTAGGCTTTCCCACACACTGGTGCTTGTTGAAGGCAGTGAGCTGAAGCCACCAGTCATCCGTGGGCCGCTGTGAGACAAAGAGCTGAAGATCTGTGGGGACGAGCTCATTCTGACAGGCAACATGCATACATTTTATACAAGACGAGCTTGCACATAAGGGGGGCTCTGTTCTGGTCCATGGCATTTTTGTCTTTGTGAAAGCATTTTTCTTTTTTATAGAGACTTTAGTTTATATTTCCGTTTGTACAGAGAATATTAAGTATTTAACAGTTTTGTATTTGGGACTATCACATCCTGATGTTTGGACATATTTAAAGATATGAGCCAGTATCACAGATGAATGCATTGCATTTCTAAGGGAATTATAATAACTTCATTTTCCCATTAGTCTAGGTGACACCGGTGCCAATTAGACATACTTAAGAACAAGTTGGAACACATCAGGGCTTTAGGACTTGCCATATCTTGCAAAAGAACCGTGTAAAATAGTGCAAGCTATGACTGAAATTGAATCGAGTTCCCTGATCAGTCATATGGGGGCGCCCTCTCCTCTGGTTAACCTGTTAGGAGAAGTAAGGAAGCAGCTTCACTTCAATTATTACTGGGAAAAAAGTCCCTGAGAAAGGAAAATGCTAAAAACAATTGTGAGCTTGATTTGCTCAGAGGCGTTATTCAGACATTTAATGTAATTGGATCAGATGTAGTCAATAAAGCACCCTCAATCTTCTTCTTTGACGAAGGAGCTAACCTGAATCCTTTTAAGAGGAGGGGGCAGCTGGATGGAGTAGTGAAGTGTAGGCTTGTGTCTAGAATTAGGACCTAAGTAGCGGGGCCTTCCCGCACACACCCTGTTCATTCTTTCTCCCGCGTCATCCACCGAGCGGGGCTGTAAGAACATCCCTCAGTCTGGTTTGTGAAGTTTAGTCATTCTGTCTGCAATACTTTCACCCAGTGGGAATCGCCTGGCCCAAAACAAAGCTTTGAGTGTGCATATGTATCCCCTGTTACTAAATGAATAACCTCTTCTGTTTGTACACACTCTCTGCCAGTTCTGCGCTGCAGAGCTTGAAATCTGTGTCTGGTTTTGTCTTTATATTACTTTGTTTTTGCTACCCCATTCAGTTCGATGCTTATTTGCTGCATGACCACTGTGGGTCTTTGGGCAGTTGTTGCTCCTCTGTGTCAGGTTGTGGGTGGTCTCAGTCCATCCATTACTTCCTTGTCCAGGCAGAGGCGAAGTTCACACGAGACCCACATCCATTTGCTCTCTGCAGCGGGCAGCTTTTGCACTCGTGTGTAAACCATAATCAGGCTAGCCTGAGAAAGATGTAACGGCAACTTAACCAGCCGCGGCATTTCTGGCCTCCATGTCCCTTGTAGCTTATTGTCATTGACACGGTGACGTAGCGCTTCAGGAATCCACTCTGCAGCCCCTCTACTCAGCTTTCTACAGCACTCAGAAATGGTAGTGCAGAAGTGCTTTAGGTTAGATTGTGGGGTTTTACAACCACTTGGATACATAGTTGGATAATCCTAATTGATGTGGTACATCGTCAGACTTTTTTGTGCAGCCTTATGGGACGTGAGGCAGTGGCTTTATTGGTAAAGCCTACAGAACAAGAATATACGCTTAAAGAGGAGAAATATGATTAGACAGACAGGGCCATCGTTTACTTGTAAAGAGATTGGTAAAGAGATGGCTAGACAGAGGAACTGGAGGGAGGGCAGTGCGGTGAGAGGCCTGGGGCGATGTTTGAGGACATTGGGGGGTCGTTGTGGTTTGTCTCGCTGTCAATCACCCGCACTCTGATTTCCTTTGTTGTCTGTAAGCTCAATGCCCCTCAGCAACCTGTGGCTGTCCTTCCTCTTTGTGTTACAGTGTGGGAACTTTGCTGTGCTGGTGGATCTCCACGTTCTGCCCCTGGCCGGCCTTGAGGACACCAGCTGGTTTACTGCGCACCACATCGAGGTACAGACACAGGCAGAAGGGCGTGCGTGTGAATAAAGTGTGTGCGTGAATGTAAGGCTTCTGTTCTGCTTGGGGCCTTTTCAAAAGTCTGCAGCAGCGTGGAAACTAAAATGACTCTGAGCCTTCTGTCTGATCTTGTTAGTGGTTTTCATTGTCGCATAATTGTTCTCATCGCCACTTGTTGAATTACCTTACCGACCTTCAAAATGAGACTCCTACTCTCCTGTTGTCTGCCTTTGCATTTCATAAATCTAACTTGTAAAGTCAAACAAAAGAACTTCTGTGTTGTAAGTTGAGAAAGATGAAATATCTTCACACTGTAGGAAGTTACAGCCCTGGTACGAGATGCTGTGGACCGCAGGGTGAAGCAGTACGCAGAGTCCCTCCACCACAGAAGACAGCCCAAACAGAAAAAGGAGCTGCCATCTGCTCCAGCCTTTTTGGTAAAAGGTAAAACACCGTCTTTTGACCCTCAATACACTGCCCCAGAGCAAAATAATCCAGTATTACATATGCTTATTATTGCCTTTTAACAATCCATAATATGAGTGACATTGCTTCTTCATGTGTTTACTGGTAAGTGAGTCTGAATTGTTATTATGTAATGAGAGCAATGTTTTGATTTCCCTGTTGCTCACATCTCAGGAATGCAGTCATCTTTGTCTTCCCTTGCCATGTCTTAGGTGTGTCTATCATCAAGTCTTGAATAGGAAAAATGCTTTACTTTGGCTTTGAACTCAATCCATTATTTATTCACTTGGCCCTCAGAGCAGAGATATCGCTGCGTGCATGGGTGTGAGCCACTGAGCCCTGAGAAGGATGGGAATGGAGTTATAAAGCACATTAAAAAGTAATGTCATGGCTACCTTTTTTTAAAAGTGTGGGAGAAAAGACAACAGAACTAGTTGGGACACGGTGGCTTTCTACGCCCAGGGTGTGACCAGGAGGTGAGAGCTGATATGAGTTCTTATATTGTGCAGCACTGTTTAACTTAAGCACATAATGTAAGTCCATTAAAAATGGCTAATGTTTGTAACCCTTCGTGGGGGTTGGCACACCTGTGTTTATCTGTACTCGTGGTTAGCCTGACACCTAAAAACAGTTGCCCTGACACATATGTTCCCATATAAATGATGTTTCAATATGACTAGGCCAATTCAATTCATCCCTATTTATCCAATGCAAGTACATTCCTTCAGCCACCCACGCACATGCCTTTGAAGCACTGTAAGCCCTGCTTCAGAGGAACCCCCGGCTGCGTGGTTGTAAGGCAGACAGGTTTGTCACAGGTAGCAGTTAAGGGCAGTTAAACCACGCTCACTCAGCAGGGCAGAGAGAGTGGGATTACAGGGCAGTTGGCTCCATAAAGTTTCTCCCGTGGCTGCAGCTCTGCCTCTCACGCTACTCCCCACCCACTCAAACCCTGCGTTCACATGTGCATTTGTTTTCAAACACAGATGCATGCGTACATTATTCGACTTTTGTTGTTTTTTTAAATTGAAAGTATTGTCGTCACAGGCAGCATTTGCATACTTGTAGCATGCATGTGGATGCTTACATGCACAGAGGCGCTGATACTCGCCAGGAACATTGAGAATCAAAAGGAGCGACAGTGCGTTGGAGAGATATATCCTCCCCCTGGGCTAGGTGTGAACAGGCTGACAGTGTACGGTTACAGAATAGCATGTGTCATATTTCCCATGACAGACTGAGGAGAGACAGACATCTGTAATGATGGAGATCACAGGCTGAGGCTACACACACACACACACACACACACACACTTATGCACACACATTCATTTCCCTGTGTGAACAAGGGGACTATCAGTATTTCAGCAGGAAATATGCATGTAAAAATGATTAAGCTCCTTGCAGCGTTGCCAAAAAGAATGTAACCAGTGGAACATGACTCCATACCATACTGTAGAATTCCCCCCCCCCCCTCAGAACATGAAAAGGTATCGCGCCTCAAACAGGCCCACACAGTTCATGTGCTCTAGTCCTATTAAAGGTCTTAAGTGAGTGTAATCACATTCTTGGTATTTTCATTGTCCCATGTGAGGGAGGCGGCAGAGCAGTAAAGGTGGAGACTGTGACTGTGAGAAGTTAGCAGGCAGGCAGGAGCCATAAAAAGGGAAGGATAGACTATAGGCTTAGGGAGGGAAGCCCAGCAAACCTCAGGGTAGGTATTAAGTATTGGGGTCGTCCTTTCTGCAGGCAGGTCAAACGCTAACATGCTAATCCTAACAGAACTTTTAGCCCCGTCCATAGCGGGAAGTGGAAGCGGGTTTTCTGCATGTATCTGTTTCAGCAGAAGACCTTTTTTAACATCTGTGTGCAACATTATGACATTTGAGAGCAGAATTAGGCTAGAGACCCTGAAGTGGGACATGTGTATGTGCTGGATCATGTGCTCATGCATGTTGTTACACATAGAGAAAGGTGTCAGGCGTGGTGGCACTGATGTCTGGGCCAAGAATAGGCGGATGGTGTGTGGTGCTATGTGTGGGATGGTATGGGAGGGGGATTGTGGGTCCTGTATGAGGCGGTGTTTGAGCTGGTGCCAGTGTGAAATCACAGGGGCTTCCGCCAACAGACAGCAGTAAGAGAAGCGTAACAGCCTCAGCTGTTGGCACTTCAAATGAGCCATCAACAGCTTTTTGCATTCCAAGGCCCTTCAGTGCAAATGCTTGTATCCGAGTTATCTCTATGGGTTATTGTATTTATGTATGTGTGTGGGTGCATATGTGTCTGTGTGTATTGCACCCACTGAACATGTCAGAGTGGGGCTTATCTCACGTCTTCTGCCCAACATAAATCCATCCTTTTTTTCTTATCTCAGCTGCAGAGGCCAATTTCCAACTGTCAAATCCCAGCCCCCCCTCTTTTTTTATACCCAGGCTACTTGAGACTTCATGATTAGCTCATAGTGATGTGATTTATTTATGTTTTCAGAGAGATGAACAGGGGGAACTTTTCCCACCAAACATCTTGGCTCTGGACAGGCAGAAATGGACATGCTAGACTTTAGAAGCCCAGGGAAGGAGAGCTTGGGAGAGGCCTGTCGCATTCTCCCTGGTAGACCGTGTTGAACACACCCACATTTCTCAGGGTAATTACAGATTGAAAATGAGTGGATAATAGGTTCTCTGTGCTTTGAGGAATACATTTTTGTCATTTAAAATGATATTCGAGGAAGGAAGCTGGTGCACGAGTGTCACAGTTGTCCTCCTAGAGATGCCACTGCTCAGCAGAAAAAGAAGCCAGAAAGAATTTACTTCAGACATGGCACAACACTGTACATACTGCGCAAGCAAGTATTTGTCAGACATTACCGATATACTCACTGTAGATTAGATTGTGTGCTTGATTTCCGTTTGCTCTTGTACTAGTATTGTTTTACCTCAAGGGGATATAGATTTTTTTTTATTTAATGGTGTATATATTGGTGTATGTGTGTAGAGTGTAAACTGAGAAGGCCCATTTTACACGGATTTAGTTAACATGCGATTTAAAACTGCCAAAGCACATTACCAGATGTCTTGCGTTTACTATTATTATCGATTCAGCCGCATTGAACCCTCCAAGCCAGGCCACGCTCGGGTATATCGTAGCCCGGGAGTTTGAAGCGCTTCCTACCAGTCGGAGTTAGAGGAGTCCTGGCAAAGTGGCACCTTGAGTCCATTTTACCCCATGGCAGAGCTGGTTCCTTCTTCCTCTCCCTGCACAGGTGCCAGGGCTTAGGGGGAGGGAACACCTGCCAGCCTCTTTCCCCATGGCCACGGCAGGCTGGAGAGGCATTTTCCCAGGCTCCCCAGATGAATGGTCACTAATAGCCGTGGGAGAGGGCTTTGCGAGTGCTGCACAGTGTACCACTGACTCCTCTTGGCAGCCCTATGAAGGGGGCTTAAGGCAGCCTGGCCACAGCCAATGCGGGAAAAAGCACAAGTGTTGCTGGATAGCTTTACGGTTGGAGAATGTGTTTACGAATGACCATCTCCCTCCCAGTGAAGAATGCGGAGGATGAGTAGAGACTAAAAGGAAGATGGTTAATTTTTGCACCGCCATGTCATAGGTTGTGCTTTGTTTGACTTCTCGGGCTCTTTGAAGGCCCAAACAGTTTATCACATTTTGAAGAGCTATTTAGTCAAATTGTGAGTGTTAGAAAAACAGTTGTATCGGTGTTTTTCGGTGAAACATGTCATCCTTTTGGGCTCGCACTGCAACAGTTCCATCACTTTCTGAAGACGCAGAAAATACTTTTAAAGTGATAACCTGTATTAACCCACCTTGTGTCTCCTCAGTGCTTCCACAGCCATTACTATTTCTGTGAGGGGCTGTTATGTGGGGTCTGCTCTGTAAATAGAGAGGCATGCATGTGGCAGAGTTACCTGCCCCGCTCTGTGTTACTGGGCGTGAGGCAGGCTGGGATTAAGGCGAGGGGGAAACGGAGACCTGTGACAGGAACAAAGGAATTCCAAGGCCCAGGCTGGAAATGGATCCTGATCAGAGTAGCCACTCCAGCCAGTCTGCCCCTCTCCCTGCTCGCCCTCCCTCCCCTGGCCCCTGCTGGGCAACCCCCTTTCTCCTGGTGCTTTGTGGTGTTGCTGTGGCTCTTTAAATCCTTCCTGTAAGCCCCTGGCCTTACTCAGCAGCAATACATTGCACAGTCTGACTCCAATGTTAACCTCCCCTTCCCTATTATTGCACACTACAATCACACTTTCGCTCTTTTTCTTTGTCCTTGGCATTTTCGCACCTCTATCACTCCCTCCTCTCCTAGCCGGTGCCATCGGTGCCTTCCTTGTCCACTCTGCTCAGCTCTTCTCTTGTCGCCTTCGAATGTTTCCTTCTTTCTCTCCTTCTCCCTCTCCGCAGGGTCAGCTGCACTCTCCTAGGACACAACCGCAATCCCAGCCATAGCTGTCACACCACACTCTTTTCCCATATAATTAGGGCCTGAGTCTGAGCCTGAGCACGGATCACATTCAAGTGACTGTTCCCATTCACCACATTCTGGTCGGGAGATGGCACACACTTTCTTGAACTCATGCTGTGTGTTCTGCATGACCAGAATGCCTAGTTCTAGCAATTACTTAAAGGTTTCAGTGGATGTCGTTGTTTCCCCTCTGCTCTTTGCTTCCACTTTAGAGGAATGGACCCATGTCATGTGCTCCTATGAGCTTTGTGGTTTTTCCTGTGGACAGATGTTATAGGACTGCTGCCATACCGTATATGCCTTGTGTGGTCAGGAAAAGGTCACCCTAAAATAGCATTTAACAAAAGCAACACAGTTTTATTTGTTCAGGGCCTTTGCTCGCACAAGATCTATTGCCTTGCAGAACTCAAGTCAATTCAACACATCTTTTATTTGCATGGCCTTACCTGCTTTGTATCATCAGTCCCCGGTAGCAAAACCTCAGATAGAATTGCCATGTGTGCCTAGTT